ATTGGTATCCCTTGGGACCCAAAGGGGTCCCCATCCAAAAGGTGATATAGCAATATCATATATGAATTAATTTTTCATTTTTTTTCACACCAGATCTTTTAAACAACTTCAGACCTATCCACTGATATAAAGTTTTTCTTAATTTTTTTACATTTTTTTAAGTTTTTATGGTTTTATTGTCATAAAGACCCCTGTTTATATTTTGGGGGGTAAAAAAACCATAATATGCAATATTTTCAAAAAATGAGTTGCAAATGGAACTACTTGGCATGAGGTTATTAGAGCCTTGGATAGGTAAAGAATTCAGAATAGAATTGATTTGGATGCATTATTATTTTTGGAGCAATAAGAGTTTTTGCATTATACATCCATTGGTATCCCTCGGGACCCAAAAAGGTCCCCATCCAAAAGGTGATATAGGAATGAATTTTATGAAATTTTTTTCCAGTTTTTTTCACATTAGATCTTTTAAACAACTTCAGACCTATCCACTGATATAAAGTTTTTCATAATTTTCTTAATATTTTTTATGTTTTTATGGCTTTATTGTCATAAAGACCTCTGTTTATTTTCTTTGGGGGGTAAAAAACCACAATATGCAATATTTTCAAAAAATGAGTTGCAAATGGAACTACTTGGCATGAGGTTATTAGAGCCTTGGATAGGTAAAGAATTCAGAATAGAATTGATTTGGATGCATTATTATTTTTGGAGCAATAAGAGTTTTTGCATTATACATCCATTGGTATCCCTCGGGACCCAAAATGGTCCCCATCCAAAAGGTGATATAGCAATGAATTTTATGAATTTTTTTTTCAGTTTTTTTCACATCAGATCTTTTAAACAACTTCAGACCTATCCACTGATATAAAGTTTTTCATAATTTTGTAAATATTTTTTATGTTTTTATGGCTTTATTGTCATAAAGACCTCTGTTTATTTTCTTTGGGGGGTAAAAAACCACAATATGCAATATTTTCAAAAAATGAGTTGCAAATGGAACTACTTGGCATGAGGTTATTAGAGCATTGGATGGGTAAAGAATTCATAACAGAATTGATTTGGCTGCATTATTATTTTTGGAGCAATAAGAGTTTTTGCAATATACATCCATTGGTATCCCTCGGGACCCAAAATGGTCCCCATCCAAAAGGTGATATAGCAATATCATATATGAATTAATTTTTCATTTTTTTCCACATCAGATCTTTTAAACAACTTCAGACCTAACCACAGATATAAAGTTTTTCATAATTTTTTTAATATTTTTTATGTTTTTATAGCTTTATTGTCATAAAGGCCCCTGTTTATTTTTTATTGTTTTTGTGGGGGGGGGGAACCCATAATATATATTATAAATATATATATAAAATATAAATATATTCTCAATCACATTCACACCACTCTCTTATATCAGTTCCACTACATCGAGACTATTTTATGGTGGTCAGCTGTTTTATTGTCATGTATTTTGCATAATAAGATAACCATGTCCTGCATTCAAAACCACTGAAAATGTCTATGGTGGTGCTGTACCTAATATTGTGCTCATTGGATCCAAAACATATTTTTCCTTTATTTTGAAGGCTCAGGCTTAGATCCATTAGGTATTCACGAGAAAAAAATTATCACATGTCAGGATTACAGTATATCGAAAATATGTGATTATAAAGGGAGTCAATGGGACCCAAAATGGTACGACGACCACAGATGGTAACACTTATGTGAATCTCCTTTACTATACACAACACCATAGAGGGGATCAATGAATTTTAAAAATAATGCTAAAATGCAACTCCTGGCCAAGTTTCATGCAACTAGTCTTTAAAATGACTGATATATTGAGAATCAAAAATCCAAGGGGACCCAAAAGGGTCCCTTTTTTGACTATGACCATCTAAAGGACGTGGGAGAGCTTTCAGAAGAGTCTTTCAGTCTTACAAAAACAAGTTTTGTTTTGTTCTTTCTTTTTTGTTGAATATGTGGTTGTTGGTGCTGTGATTTCTTTTAACTGCTTCTATGTAACTACACAGTGAGAGAGAAAAAACTGTTCTTGTTTTAATTTGGTCAAAACTTTCTCATATCAAAGAGCTAGTGGTCCGACACAATGAGCCATTCACCACGTGAAATGTGCAAGTTTCACATAATCATCTGTTCCACCCATAAAAGTATATTTGATACTTGCACGTAAGTGTAGAGGCAATATGGTGAGAGAATAATTTACTAGTCTTTGCCCACGTTGGGACAAAAGATCGGCATGAAAGTATCTCCACTTTGACACCCCTGTGGTGACTCCTTCAGCTCTTCACCACATTTTGTCCTCTTTCACATCATTGCAGTTTTTGGTACCTACGGAGGCTTTCTGTCATTACTCTTAACTTACTGCGATACAGTTTAACCACTGCGTTTAAATTTCTTTCACTGATGTCAAGGGTGTGACACAATTTTACCTTAAGCAGCCACTGCGTGTTGTTCTCCATGCTGATCTCCAGTTGTTCCAGCCTCTGAATTGACTCGTTGTCCGTAGGTCCGTCCTTCTGGACAGGATAGTTGTAGTTGTTATACTGAGTTTGGCAGTTATCCTGCTCAGGCAGCAGAAACGTATAGCTGCAAGGGCCATTTTGGATTTGATATTGTGTTTTCTCAGCAGCACTGAATCCAGTTCCCAGACCAAGGCACAAGCTTAAAACTAGTAGGTCCACATTCAGCATCTTCATTGTAGATCGAGTTATGTTAAACTTACAAATAAACCCCCTTGGATTTTCAAGGTTTCTTTAATCTTATCTCTATCTGATTAGATATCTTCTTCCAGCAGCATCCAAGTGTAAACAGCTCTCTTGAGTTTCTGCAGGTTCCTTTTATTACCTCTCAGTGGTAGGAGGAGAAGAAGCCATCAGGAATGAGAGGTAGTGTGTCCTAAGGTTGATGGTGCCAGACTGCATGTGCTCGCCTTTCATTAGACCCCTGACCACTTGCTATAGTGCTTTAAACTGTGAGTTTAAACCACACCCCCTTGCCTTTGGCCAGTCAGTGTGAAGAGCACTGAAGTGGAGATTCCTTTCAGTACACGCTCGCTGAGCAACACACAGGAGCAGATGCACAAACTACACATCTTCTACTATATCCTCCACAATACCCACATGTTTTTTTTGCTTTAGTTGAACAACTACTCAGGATGCAGCTGTCCACCTTCAGCACACTCTTTGATAGTAGCAGCGTCCATCCCATTCATTGAAAAATGTTTCCCGGTTTACAGCAAGCGCCCTGAATGGGAGATTCAAAGGAAGAAGTGTCCATTTCAACTTTATTATTAACCATTTCCTGTTTTGTACATATAAGCAGCACCTACATTAAATACACTGTCCTCTTTTTTTTTTTAATAAAATTGGTTTATTTGATAAGCTCAAAATTTCTTAAAACTCTAAATAGATTTTCATTTCATGTCATTTATTATTTCCCAGTGGTTCAGAGTGGCCGTTTTATGACCTCCAATTAGAAAAACAAGATGGGTTTTTTTCATTTGCATCTACTTCAGAGTTTAAATGACATTAGCAGAACCATGATTCACAAGTATAATGAAGCATTAGATGCTTTTACCCTTGAAGACCAAAAAAGTCACAGGAAAGCTCATTGTTTTTTCCTTCTTACAAAAAAGAATCCATTTTTACAAAGCAGGTTTTTCTGTTAGGTTGGGAGTTTTAATCTCAGCAAGTTGTGGGTGTTTTCTGTAGCCTAGCCCATTGTTGTTTACACAAGCCCAAAATAGCCCAACAAAACATGGTCCCACACTCTTACACACAGCAAAGTGCAATTTTTTTTAATTTATTTATTTATTCTCATTTATTTATTTTACAGACTGAATGTTTTTGAAGCCTTCTAAAAGGTGTTGTGATTTTCCAGGATGTTCTGATAGTAATTAGGAGTAATGGAATATTTCCAGAAACTGTGGTGAACAACACGCCTAAAATGCATGCATTAGTGATTTGTTTTTCTGTGGCTTAAATAATGTTTTGCAGCAGAGAGCAAAACATTATTGTGAAAACTAATGGTTACGTTTGATAGAAAATTAGGGAACTGGCTTCCAGCAGCATGTAATGATACAAGCACGTGCATCCATTTATTTTTATAATAACTATTCTGCAACACACAGAGTGCATACTGTGGGGTCTTTTTGTCCAATTGGAGCACTATCTTGACATGACAAAGTTGTTGTAGTCAGTAAAAAAAAAATGAAGGGCTCTGTGACATCAGAAAACTAACCACATGTATGATGTGTAGTCTAATCACATTTTAGTGGCACCTAGAGGGGTCTTCTCGATGTCAAAATGACAAAAAACTGAATCGGACTAAACTTACAACACACGAACATGCACAATTTTAATGTTTTATATAACACACTGGACTCAAAGTGCAGGCTGAAAAAACAAGGTAAACTAGTTCAGTAACTCAGAACCTCCTTTAGCTGCAGCAGCCTCCATCAAATGTTTCCTGCACCACAAGTAGGAGGAATGTTGAACCATCACTCCTACAAGACTGTTTTAGGTCATCATTATTTCTGGGATGATTTGCTTGAACATTTAATTTCACTGAGTTGCTCATTCGACAACATCTCAGTTCAATTTTCCTAAACACTGCTTCTCATTGTTTTCAACCTCTGGGTCATTTTCTCATTGCACCATCCAGCCTCTACAAAGCAGCAGGTCATGTAGCTCTCCCCTTACATTTTCTTGTGAAAACTTGTGGAGCGATGAATACATTGGTCTTTCAAAATGCTTTTGTAGATGTTTGCCATCGTTGAGCATCACTGTAATGCTTCTCATATGGTTTTGTCAAAGATGTTGCAATTGAGGCATGGTGCATACCAGCCAATATTTCTTGAGAAGAGCAGATTGATAATTGTAGATTTACATGAATAGTACAGCTGTTAAATATTTATTTGTGTCACGGGCTGCGACGGCAGACCGTGGAGTTGTAGAGAAAGTAGGGCCCAAACGCGAGACTCAAGTGAAGGACAGTGGATTTATTTATGGCGAGTGGACAGAAACGACAACTATATACAATTCAAGCACTGTGACTCCTGTGGCGATTCCTCCAAGAATCCCACACAGTGCACGTGTCCATAGCAGTGAAAAGGTGACAACTCCAAAAACCCGATTCCACTCTGTGATTTCCCCTCGTGACGACGTTCCTGACTCCCGACTCCTGGTGACACAAAAACGCACACAGCTCAGCAGGCAGCCTTTAGTAGCGAAGCCGATCACAACACACTAATCTACGGAGGTACTTAACAGGTTCGACTTAGTATAATCCCGCGCCGACTGGGGCTCCGCCACCTTCTTAAATAAAGCGCCCCTCATGAAGCCATCAGCTGCAGCTGGTGAGGGCTAATGGGCGGCAGGTGCGGCAGTCCCCAGTGCGGGAACACTTCCGGATCGCAGTCCCCTCAGCGACCCCAAAACATCCGGGAGCACCCAGGGAGAAAGGACAAAAAGGGAGAGAAAACCACCATAACATATGGAAAAACATATACAAGAAATACATGAGCTCTGGGTCATCAGACCCAGACCATGACAATTTGATCCAGTTTGATTTGTTTAGATGACGTTCAGACCACATTTATGAGCACTCGACGTTCACAAACCTTTTCATGGGACAGTACAAATACCAAAACAGAATTGTAGGAAGTAGCCTGATGTAATAGTTATGGTATAAAGGAAATGTTACACATTTTAAGCACATTACCAAAGAGGAAGGACATGCAGTCATTGCAAAAATATTGACTTTTTCAGGTGTTCAGGCTGAATCACCCACGCAGTAGATTGATCTGCATCACTTTCAGTATTTCAGTTTATTTTACCGTCATTGAAAACTAAGGGAAGGGCAGGAACATCAACAGTGATTCAGTTAAACATACATCCAGTCCAGGGACCATTCATTAATTGAATTTATTACTGCTCCATTTATACAGCTTCCTTATGCTGTTAACATATGTAAAGTCTGCTGAGCTGTCGAGAACACAAAGTGTTTGATTATACAAGGATGCTAATTTATTCATCCTGGTTACAGCGCTGCTCATGCTGTCTGTTTGCCTCCACTGCCCTCTCTGGATAAGATAAGATAAGATAAGATAGAACTTTATTAATCCCTCGGGTGGGTTCCTCTGGGAAATTCGACTTCCAAAAAAAGCACAGCAACGACCAAAGTTACAGTTACAGAACTGTTATATATATATATACATACACACACACACACACACACACACACACACACACACACACACACACACACACACACATATATAAATACAGAGACAAATATAAATAAAATATACAAAGGGGATAAATAGAATAAATAGGAATAAAAAAATAAAAATACAAGTGAATTGCACATTTCAAGTATTGAGTCTATTGCACTGTTGACTATTTACAAAAAGTATTGCACAAGGTATTGTACAGTGAGGTGCAGAGGCACTACAGCTTAGTTGTCCCCCCCTCCTTTGTCCTCCTGTTTCCCCTCCCTCTCCCCTCCAGAGAGGAGTTAAACAGTTTGATGGCGTGTGGGACAAAGGAGTTTTTAAGTCTGTTAGTTCTTGTCTTGGGGAGAAGCAACCTGTCACTGAACAGACTCTTCTGATTGTTTATGGCCGTGTGCAGAGGATGCCCAGCATTGTTCATAATGTCCAGCAGTTTCTTTAATGTCCTTTTCTCTGCCACTGTCACCAGAGTGTCCAGCTTCATGCCGACCACAGAGCTAGCCTTCCTGATCAGTTTCTCCAGCCTGGATGAGTCCCTCTTTGCTGTGCTGCTCCCCCAGCACACCACAGCATAGAAAAGTACTCCAGCAACCACCGACTGGTAAAACATCCTCAGGAGCTTCCTGCAGATGTTAAAAGACCTCAGCCTCCTGAGGAAGTACAGTTGGCTTTGGGCTTTTTTATACAGGTGCTCTGTGTTGCATGACCAGTCCAGTTTATTGTCCACCCACAGCCCGAGGTACTTGTACTTGTTGACCACCTCCACCTCCTCCCCCTCTATCTGAACTGGCAGTGGACCTTCTCTGGACCTCCCGAAGTCCACAACCAGTTCCTTAGTCTTTGAGGTGTTGAGTTGCAGGTGGTTTGTGTGACTCCATGCGACAAAGTTCCTCACCAGACTTCTGTACTCCTCTTCTTGATCATCCCAGATACACCCCATGATGGCTGTGTCGTCTGCAAACTTCTGAATATGGCATAATTCAGAGTTGTAGCAGAAGTCAGAGGTGTACAGGGTGAAGAGAAGAGGGGACAGCACAGTTCCCTGTGGTGCTCCTGTGCTGCTGACCACTGTGTCAGACGTGATGTCCTTCATCCTGACGTACTGTGGTCTGTCGGTGAGGTAGTCGGAGATCCAAGCCACCAGGCAGGGGTCCACCTGCATCCTGTTCAGTTTTTCCTGAAGCATACAGGGCCGGATAGTATTAAAGGCACTGGAAAAGTCAAGAAACAGGATCCTGACCGTGCCTTTTCCCCCATCCAGGTGTGAGTGGGCTCTGTGTAGGAGGTACAGGATGGCATCCTCCACTCCGACACCCACCTTGTATGCAAACTGTAGTGGGTCCTGGGCATGTTGTACCTGTGGTCGGAGGAGGTTGAGGAAGAGCCGCTCTAGAGTCTTCATAAGATGTGACGTCAGTGCCACCGGTCGGAAGTCATTCAGCTCATTGGGCCGGTTCTTTTTGGGGACCGGGACGATGCAGGATGTCTTCCATAGGGCGGGCACTCTCCCCAGTCGCAGACTGAGGTTGAAGACTCGTTGTAGCGGCTCCCCAAGTTCAGCAGCACACGCCTTAAGCATCCTAGGACACACCTTGTCTGGGCCTGCTGCCTTTCTGGGGCGAAGCTTCCTCAGTTGCCTCCTGACCTGATCCACTGTGACACTGGGAGATGTTTGGGAGGAGGGGAGGGGGGGAGATGTCTTGCTGCTGAGAGAGGGATTGGAGGAGGGGGGTGTCATGGTGTCAGGAAGGGGGGGAAGCGAGGGAGGCAGGAGAGTGGGGAGAGGACTCTGTAGTGAAGGTGAGGGTGAGGGATTCTCACTTTACAAAAAAAAATGTAAAATTTGAATAAATAAAAGGTAATAAAATGCAGCTCATCCATTGTGTTACAATTTTGTACATTTTTGGCATCAGTACCATTTTGTTGGGGTGAAAAAGGTTCTTGCTTCCACAGCCCAAATGCATGCTTATTAGTTTGAACGTGTTTGAATGTGAGCTATATAAAACAATTCAAGTCCATAGAATAAAGTGTTGTATGAATATATGTGAAAAAGGGGGGATCTGGTTAGTCGTAGCTTACTGTAGAAACTCCTCATCATTGTCTCCTTTGTTTCACTGGAGTCAGAAGCACAAATCAAAAACCTTACCTGATTTAACTTGACCTTATTTCCCCTTCAAGGTTGCCTCCTGCACCTCTAGACAGCACAGCTTCTCTTTATGTCAGACTCAATTCACGGGACTTTATCAACTTCCCAAAAATGAAAGTCAAGGATTATCTTTTAATACACTGGAACAGATCCAACGTGCATCACAAACGCACAAATTCAGGGGGGCAGAACAAAAGTTCTAGGCATTAATATAAAAACAACAACCACACCAATAGAGGATCTCGACGTGTCGGAGAACCAGACCTAGAAAGTGAGATTGGCTAAATTTAAAAAAGATTTTGGACTTTCATGGGTTACGTTTATTGATTACATTTCATATGCGATTGCACTGTTTATCAATTAACTCAAGCATTTTTTTCCACATTATGTTAAATTAAAAAAAGGTTTTAGCATATATGCTGATACTGATGCAGTGGGCTTTAGCTCGTCTCTACCCTTAAAAATTGGTATTAATGTTCGACATTAATAAGATACAAACAGAATTGTGAGTTATGATAAATCTATCTGCAACTACTTTGAGGGTAGATGGTCTCTGTTTCTCGTTTGTGTCACACTTTTCACTGTTTCTCTACAGCTCCGACAACAGCTGGACAGTGTTTGTAGAGAAGTCTGTCACTTCCACGCAACCTCACCAATATTCTAGAGACCAGAGCAATAACAAGGATGTTTTTGCCCACAGTATGGGGAATACACATTTTCCTTCATGACCAATGATCATGGACCAATCTAAGCCTTTGACTGGGGACTTATTTGCTTATTTGCTCCTACATTGTCACCGTGATTGTCATTCGTCATAAATGGCAGGCGAAATAATTGATAGACAAACTTCTTCTTGTATGTGTGCTTCTGTTTTTCCTCCCATATTATAGCTCAGATAAAGTCTTTTAATCTTTAATGAGGGTTAAATTTAATGTGATGCTATTTCCTGAACTCTTTCCTCAACAGTGTCTGATTTTGTGAATAAAGACTTAAAGCCTTGAAGTCTGTTTTTTGCAGGTATTTGACTTGGTATAGAGCCGTTTGCCCCTTCAGTTTATCAGCTGAACCCTGCTGCGTACTGTACAGAACTGTCGTGAGAATTTAGAGCATCAGTTACCAAACTTGAAAAGAAAGACCCTCCAAGAAAATCACAGCTTCAGTCAGGCAAAGACTCAAATAAGTCTGAGAACAAGGTGAGCTTAAAAAAATGAAACAAGGCACAGAGGTTGGCATTGTAGTTCAACTTGTTCTTACCTGAGTTTATGTGATTCTAATCCGATTAGAGTTACTTGGATGTATCAGAGTTTGATCAGAATTTATCAATTTTCTACTGCAATAAACTGTATTTGAGTGAGGTTTAGCATTTAGCTGTGGGTTGCAAATGTCTGCTGTTGCTGTCTAAATTGGTCTCATATGCTGCAGTGATTGTGCGTTGGTTTAGGCCGTGAGGGTGTGTGCCTCCCAGCCAAACTGCTGCTTTATCTCCAGCAGCCACCTTCAGGCTATTTTCAGTACTTCAGTGCTGAAACTGGCTTGAAGGAATCAGATTTGTGATTCTGATGAATGCAAATTAGATTTTTGAGGGTCAAAGTGGACACTTTAATTTGCTCCACAGATGAATAACATTTTTGAATTTGACTTGAATTTATTCATCGGCAGCAGCACACATTAGTATCATGTAAAAGCGGTTTCAGGGAAGAGTGCTCTATTTGCCTCTTTTAGTGCCGTGTAGGTTGACAGCACTGATCTTTAAAAGGGAGAGAATTGTTTTCATGTTTATCAGAGAAAGAAAAGCTGTGACTCATATTTATCAAGTTTCCATTTGAAATCTTGGTAGAACTACAAGGGACAAAGGTTTCCTGAAAATCTGAACACAATGAATTCTGGGAAGTGTGCCAAAAAACCTAACAATGTTTGATGGATTAGTGAGCAGTCATCGGGAGATTAAATTGACTCATAATTCCTTGTAAAGTCA